TATTTTGTTATTATTATTATATTATCCTTATTATTATTATTATTACTATTATCTCGTTTTACTCGGTTTGCATCCGCTGTCTATCGTACGCAAGGGCGGGGACTTGCAGGATGCATGATGCATCCGCCGATGGCATCCTGAGGCTGGGCTGTCATTGTAGCGGACCTCTGGTTGGCCTGTGAGACCAGCCCCTTGGCCTGTTCTCACAGGCCTGTGTTCTATTCGGTGGCAGTCCACTCCAGTCCAGGCCGGTATGTCTGTCGGTACCAGCCAGTCCCGTCCAGTCCCGTCAGTCCGCTGGGGTATACCCCAACAGTTGTCTGTTTTCGTCCTCATTCTACACTTGCACATTTTGGAGTATGTGCGTTGGAGTCTTGCGTGGGGAGCTGTGTTGTGCATCTTGCTCCCCCCTTCTTCCTCCATCTCCATCCCTATCACTAGCGGAGCACCATACCTGGTGGGTCCGCTACATTGGTATCGGAGCGGGAACGGTCCCCGCTCCCACCCACCACACCGCACATACGGGGAAACAACAAATCCCGACAACGGCAAGGCCAAGGCCGACCGCCGCACATGCACGCGCCACGTGCCCACGTGCCCCGCTCCCGAATATATGTATTTTCAAGATCCGGGATGCAGCTGCTGCTGCTGGGGTTTAAACCCAGGCAGCTGTCGGGTTTGCCCGTGCGTATATCACTGCCATAACACACTCGCCACCCCCCCCGGCAGCGAGCAGCAGGGCAGCAGGGCACCGGGCAGCGAGCAGCAGGGCAGGGGGCAGCGAGGAGCAGGGCAGCGGCTGTCTCTTATACACATCTAGATGTGTATAAGAGACAGGAGCAGCACGGCAGCAACAACGAGGCTGCTATTTACCCCCCCCCCCGAGGCTGCTGCTGCCCGTGCACGTGGCCACCTGCAGTGCTACGTGGCAGCTTACTGTGAACTTGAAGACCCCCTGTTTCAGGGGCTGCTCTACAGTGGTGAGGGCCTGCTCACACAGCAGACCCTAGATCTGCAGATCTGCAGAAGTGCTGCTAGGGGTTGATCAAGATCTCAGCCCCCCTCTCTCCTCCAGCTGGCTGCTGCAGCGAAGGCCAAGACCCTCCTGGTTTTGGTGTACCTTGTGCCCTTGGAGACACCAAGGGTCAGGTATCTCTTCTCTCTCTCCCCTTCCTCTACTAACCCACTCTCCCTACCTCTCCTCTCTTCTCTTACTCACCCCTTCTCTTTCCCCCACCTTCTACTGCATCTTTTCTCTTCTCCTTTTACCTTCCCCACCCCACTTTTCTCCAATCACCCATTCTTTTACTCTCTTTTCTTTATTTTTTATTTTTTTTTCTTTCCTCCTCCTTTTCTCTTTGCTTCTTAATCCCTCTCCACCATTCCCCATCCCTCTCTCTATCATTCTCTCACCCTCCTCTCCCCCAACTACCACCACACCATCCCCCTACCTCCCACTTTATCTTTTTCGTTCTTCCACCTATTTCTTTATTTTCTCCTTCACTTTTTCAGTCCCCTTCCCCCCTACTTCGAATTTTTTCTGTTTTTCTTCTTTCTATCTCTCTTTTGATTTATCTTTTCTCCTTTTTCCAAAAATTCGAATTATACCCCTCCCCGCCTTCTTTCTCATTTTCTGATTTATTTCATTTATTTTTTCTATTTATTCTGAAAATTCAATTTTCTTGACGGAAACCCTAAATCTGATTAGGTGTTAGTCCTTCTTGCTTTCGGCACACGTTTTGACCCCGTGGGGGTAACGAAGTGCTGCCGAAATTTTCTGATGTTCTCTTATTTAGTCTTTTTCGGCACACTTCAACCCCATGGGGTTAACGAAATGCTGCCAAAATTTTTTTGAAATCAGATACCCCATCTCTCTCCACCTCCTCACCCACTTATTTACCTATTTTTTTATTTATTTATTATTTATTTTCTGAAAAAAAAATATTTGCGGCAGTTTGAAACCTAGTGCGCTTATCTTGATCTCCCCGTTCCCCTTAGCCCATTCTTGACCCCATGGGGGGTAGGGAAATGCTGCCGAAAATTTCAAAAAATAGATATTATTTTTCCTTTCACCTTTTTTTTACTTTTTTCCTTAATTATTTTTATTATTTATTTTCTTTTGTTTTTCTCTTAAAATCTCGTTGTTTACTTATGTTTCTCCCGCCTTCCCCCCCCCCCAATGCTTGCTATTTTATTTTCTTGATTAGGTCACCGACACCGTACCCTAACCACTCAAACTCCGGTTAGGGTTTTCTTAAGGTTTTCTAAGGTTTAGGGTTCATAACCCCCCCCCCTACTCCCCTTCCTATTCGGGCACCCTGGACCCGAACCACCTCTCCCCCTTTGACGGCGCCCGCGCCAGCCTTGCTAGCGCCGTCAGCCGCCTTCTACCGCGGACCCAGCCCTACGCCCTCGGCTCACGCGGACCTCTCCTGGCCCCCTCCAGTCCGGCCCGTCACCTCCCCATGGCCGACGGTGTGTCACACGCCGCCGACACGGCGACGACCACGGCACAGGGCTCCACACCCGTGCCGACGGACCAAGGCCACCAGCCCCAGGGGGATCTGCACACCCTCCTCACTTCCCTCCTTGCGCCCATCCAGACGCAACTCGCGACCCTCGCGCCTTTACAGGCGCAGGTGGCGACCCTTGCCGCCGGCATGCAGCAACTCCAAGACGCTGCGTGTCCTTCAACTCCTGGCTTCCAGTCCGGGTCTCCCGTCCTCCGACAGGGTGGCCACGGCGGAGCTTCCTCTTCCGCTGCCCCCGACCTGGCCATCTTGGTGATTGTCCACACCCCTAGCACGACGGCCGCCACGAGTCAGGCCCTCCCTTAGTCCACGGGCGCACCCGCCCAGATTCCGGTCACAATGGCCACAGGACCACAACCCGCTACGGTAACCATGATCTCAGCTTTTCCGGGTGCCCCGCTTCTCCCTTCCCTTCGCACGACCGCAACGCCACCTGGCTCTCCCCCCTGTGGGATGCACTGCGCTGCTTGTGTGTCCACTTCCTCCACTCTTCCTCCTGCCACTTCTCGCTCGACCTACGTTCGAGGTCTTGCGGACGAGATTGCCCAGCTCCGGGCCGACCTCGCCCTCTTACGCCTTCAGCCACCCCCACCCTCACAGGTGGCCGCGCCTTCGGGCGCACCCCCTACCTCGTCTACCCTTCCTCCCATGCAGGCTCGCTTCCCGCGCCCTGCACCCTATCCAGCCCCATCATACCTTCTTCCTACTCCCGCAGTTGCTGCGACCTCTTCTACCGCAGCTCCTTCGCAGCCTGCCGCTGTTGCCCCCGCCGCTCCCCCATGCGGCCCGGGCGCGCAGAGAGCTGCACCCCTTTCTCCAGGACCTGCGCCGACTTACTCAGCCGTGGCACAGACCTCTGCTCCTCGATCCCCTCGCCGCCAAAACGGTGGCGCACCACTCGTCCGCTTGACGGACATTTCCTTGTATGATGGTACAGGCATACACATGTCTCGGTGGCTACAGTCTGCCACCCGCACCCTCCAGCTCATGGGCGCCCCACCCAACGCGTGGGTGGGTCACCTCGCCACACGCCTACGTGGCGGTCCTTTCGAGGCCTGGGAGGATTTCTACGCGTACTCCCTTCGTGAGGGTCGGACCCTGACCTTAATGGATTTCCAGGCGTTCCTCGAGGATCGCTTCGGAGCCCAATACGCCGTGACTGACGCCTTCGAGCGTGTCGTCACTACACGCTGGTCCGACTCTGGTGGCGCTGCCGCTCTGGATCGCCACATCCAGGTCTTTCAGGATGCCCGCCTCACTTGTGACGTGGCGTTCCTCCCCGAGGCTGCCCTTATCGATCGTTTCTTGGCCAGCCTTCCGCTCGAGCACCGCATCGAGCTATGGCGGTACGAGTTCATTCGGCCCCGCAGGCTTACGAGACCGCCAGGGACCATCAGCGGATGCGAGCCCGTCTTCATCCCGCCTCCTCCTCCTCTCACGACACTTCCCAGCGTCGTTCCCCCTTCCGCGGTCACCCCGCCGTTCCGCTCAGCAGGGCCGCCACTTCTCGCGCCGCTTCAGCGCGCTCGAGTATGGTGAGCAGGACGCTGGTGCCCTGCTGTCGCTAGAGGGTGACCATAGCGATGACCTCGACCTTGGCGAGGTCGTCCACCACCACCTGGAGGACCCTACTCTCCCTATGGCTGAGCGCCTCCAGCTCATCCTCTCCACCCTTTCCCGGGCATGCAGCCGCCCTGGTCACGCTGGCACGTCGCCCACCGAGGTCCCTCAGCAGGACCTCCCTCAGGGCTTTGTCCCTCCTCGTGGTGTCCTTTCTGGTGAGGAGCGCGCGATTATTTTGGGTCGGCGTGGATGTTTGCGATGCCGTCAGGACGGTCATACCTCCTCGCGGTGCCCCTACACCACCGCCCTTGACCGCCACTACGCTGACCTTTCCCGCCAGCGTCGTGCTCAGTCCCATCCCGGGGCCTCGCATCCCCGCGGCGCCTCCTAGCCACGGTGCAGTGTACACCTGCGCCCTCCTCGGTAGTCGGCTTCCCGACATCCCCGTCGCGGTTTGCCCCTCTCGCTACTGGAGTTGAGGTATCGCAGGACCCGATAGAGTGTACTCAGCCCTCTGTTGCAGTACCGTCTGCACCTCCGCACACCACCATCTCCCCTCCTACCCCTCCACGACTACCGACGAGTCGAGCCATTCGCTCAGCCCGTTGCAACGAGCATCTCGCTACTCGCGAGGACGTTGTGTCCTCTCTTCTGGATTTGAGCATGCTCCAGGCTCGTCAGGAGCGACTCACCCTCCATGTGGTTGCACTACGTCGCCTTCTCACCATCCTTTTTTACCCTGATCGCACCCTCCCGATCATCCCCGTACGACTGGGGACCTCCACGAGGGTGTACTTAGCGCTATGGGATTCTGGTTCTCAGGGCGACTTCATTCACCCACGTGTGGTGAAAGAAGCACGCTTACCCACGACAGGGTCTCCGACTCCCATTCCCGTTACCCTAGGGGATGACAAGACCTAGCGCTTCTTCGATCAGACGGTCACCGACCTCCTTTTCTTCCTTACTCTTGAGCCGACTAATCGTCCCCCGACGTCTCGTCGCCACCGCTCCTCTGCACATTTCGATGTGATGGAGATGGGGTACGACTTCATTCTCGGCACTCCGTGGTCTCCTCGGTTCCGCAACACCGAGGCCGATTGGGTGACCAACACTCTCGTTCTCAAAATGAAGTGTGGACAGATATATCGCGTACCTTTCATTGGTACCACTGCGATACCTCGCCTCGATCCTCCTCCCCCGGAGCCTTCCGTGCCCACACCATCTCCATCTATCACTGTCACCTCGCCTCGGGAGTTCGCTCACTTCATCCGACAGGACGACGTCACCTTCCACCCTGTCCCGATGTCGAGCTCATCCGTCTGGAGCCAGATCCTCCTTCTATCTTCATGGCTCCCATCTCTACTTCCGTCCCTCCGTCGTCCGTCAAATCCACCCCTCCGTCGTGCGTTGACGCTGATGTTGACTAACTCGCACAATATACGGCTGACCTGGAACCCGCAGTTCGTGACCTCATTCGAGAGTACCACGACGTTTTCCCATCGTCGTTCTCGTACGCTGGCATCCCACCGATGCGCGATCCAGCTTGTGCCTGACAATCGTGTTCACCACTAGGCACCCTACAGACTCTCGATCCCCGAGGCCACCGAACTCAAGCGTCAGCTTGAGGAGCTCCTGAGACTGGGTTTCATTAAACCCAGCAACTCCCTGTGGGGTGCACCCGTCCTCTTTGCTCGCAAAGCGAATGAAACTCTTTGTCTCTGCATCAACGATCGCGGTCTCAACCGCTATACGGTTAAGAACAGCTACCCCATACCTCGTTCCGGTGAGTTGTTCGACCGCCTAGCAGGCAACCGCTTCTTTACGAAGATTGATCTTCGTAGTGGTTACCATCAGATCCACGTTGCTGCAGCCGACCAGCCGACGACAGTGTCCCGACCGCGCTTCGGTCACTACGAGTTCACGGTGATGCCATTCGGCCTCACCAACACACCCGCTACCTTCCAGAGGGCGATGAACGACATCTTCAGGGACATCCTGGAGCAGTACGTTCTCGTCTACCTCGACGATATCCTGGTCTACAGTCGTACCCTTGAGGAGCACCTCAGACACCTCCGCGACGTCCTTGACCGCTTGCGCAGACATGGCTTCTATGCCAAGCTGAGCAAGTGCCGCTTTGCCCAGCACAAAGTGAATTTCTTAGGACACTACGTGTCTGACCAGGGTCTCCTCATGGACGACGCGAAGATCACTGCTATCGCGGAGTGGCCCGTTCCCACATTCGCCAAGCAGCTTCGCAGCTTCCTAGGCCTGACCAGCTACTATAGTAATTTCATCCAGAGATACGCTAGGTATTCCTACGTCCTTACCTCCACCCTCCTCCGGAAGAACCCACCCTGGGCTTGGACACCCCTCCACGAGGACGCCTTCTGCGCCCTAAGAAAGGCGGTGACATGTGAACCGGTTCTTCACCTACCCGATTTTGATCGCCCTTTTATCCTTACCCCTGATGCGTCAAACTTTGCTGTAGGACCAGTGCTTTCTCAGATCTTCCCCTCCTCTCCTGATTCCTCTCATCCTCGTATCCCTCGCTTCCCACCCCCTACCCCTACCACTGCCTCCCGACTGACGCCCACTCGTCCAGCTACTGACGAACCTTCTATTGACTATTCTCCTACCATCGCCGAGGACGACACAATCGAGTCTCGCTCAGGTGATTGTCCGATAGCCTTCTACTCCCGTCAGCTTCTGCCCGTTGAGATAAACTACACTGCTGATGAATGTGAGGTTCTCGAAGTAGTTTATGCCACTCGGCACTGGCGTCACTACCTGCACGGGGCACCGTTCACGGTGCGCACGGACAACTCTGTTGTCCAGGCTTTCCTGACAAAGCCGAAGCTCACTCCTCGACAGACTCGCTAGTGGCGCGACCTATCCGAGTTTAGGTTCACCACTGAGCACATCAAGGGTGAGACTAATCGGGTTGCAGATACCTTATCCCGGCGCCCTGACCACGACCAGGAGCAGATCCAACTCTCTTCCATCTCGGTCACCACCGTCCACCACTCGGTGATCGACGAGTTTCGCACTCAGTACCGCCASTGCCCCGACTATCGCGACATCCACGCRACCCTTCGGAGTGGCAAGACCGTCCCGAACTACTCTCTTGGGGACAACGGTCTTGTGTACTGGCACGGTTCACAGGGCACCAGAGAGCCCCGTATTTGCGTTCCCTCCACTTGACAGCTACATGTTCGAGCAGTAGCAGAGTTCCATGACCAGGCAGCCGCCGGTCATATGGGCTTCCACAAGACGTTGGCTCGTGTGAGCCGCCTATACGTCTGGCCGAAGCGCAAGGACTTTGTGAAGGACTACGTCGCAGAGTGTCCCACCTGTCAGGAGGTGAACAGTGCGAACCACCTTCCTTATGGTTTGCTCTAGCCTCTTCCTATCCCTGAGGGTCGTTGGCAGTCCATCTCGATAGACTTTATCAGTCCTCTTCGTCCTCCGACCCCGCGCGGTCATGATGCTATCCTGGTCGTCGTTGACCACTTCATGAAGCGTGCACGCTTTGTTCCGTGCCGCTATGCCATCAGTGCACGGGAGGTCGCCAACATCGTGTTTGACCGAGTCGTGCGTGACCACGGCTTACCTCTGAGCATCATATCTGACCGTGACCCGCGCTTTACCAGCCGATTCTGGCGACGGCTCCACGAGGTATATGGCACTCAGCTCCGCTTCTCCTCGTCTTACCATCTACAGACTGATGGTCAGACCGAGATCACGAACTGGACTCTCGGAGATATCCTCCAAGAGATTGTTCGTGACGACCAGCAGTGGGATCTCCATCTTGCCCACACGGAGATAGCCTACAACCACGCTGTCTCGCCAACCACGGGGATGTCGCCTTGCTATTGTGATCTCGGCTATCACCCTCGTGTTCCCGCGGACTTCCTTCGACCGTCACAGATGCACCCCGACACGAGTTGTCCCGCGCTGGATGATTGGGTTGCACACATGATGTCGATCATGAAGACCGCACATGAGCACATAGCCGCTTCCCAGACTCGCATGGCAGCACGTGCGAACCGATCGAGGATGGATCATCCATTCAAAGTCGGTGATGATGTGCTTATCGACGCCCGCCACTTACAGCTCGAAGCGGACACGCTTCGCAAGTTTCGGCGTCGCTTCTTTGGCCCATGCCACATCCTCGAGACCGTCAGTTCTGATACGGCTTCTAGCCCGGTCAGCTTCCGTGTGAAGCTACCCGACTACCTACGCCAGGCTCGTGTGCACGATGTCTACCACGTCTCGTTACTGCGTCCCTACCGCAGACCGTCTGAGCGTTTCGCTGGACGACCATACGAGCGCCCTCCACCCATCATGGTGGACGGCCACGAGGAGTTCCTCATTTCAGACATCATTGGTCGCCAAGTCACTGACGATAACCCTCCTCACGTCGAGTATCTCGTACGTTGGAAGGGTTACTCTGATGAGGAGGCTACCTGGGAGCCCCTCGAGCACTTGCAGCACGCTCACATGTTGATGCGTGCTTATGATTGTGCTCGTCGTGCTGGGTTCACTACTCCTCCTCAGCCCACTGACCCTGCTCCTTCTCCCCCGGATGAGGATACCGCTGAAGTCGAGCCTTCAGCAGCAGCCGGATGCTTCTGAGCGTCCACAACGAACTCATCGTCGTCCTGCTCGATACGACGATTGAATCTGACTTACCTTCCCACGTCTTTGACTTCTAAGTACTCCATCCACTCCTGTTTTGCTACTTCAGCTCGTCGACGTTGCGGCTCTTCCTCGACGACATTCCGGACTTCTCATCGTGGACGTCATCGGCAGCTTCATGGACTTCGTCACGATCATCTCTGCCTACTTCAGACGTCATCACTCCCTTACCACTTTACCCTGTACAGTACCCTGCTTGTATCGCATGATGGTCTCCCTTCAGCCAGGTTCCTCTGAGTTGGGCTCTCCCTTGGTATACGCATAGGCATCAGGACCGTAGCGTTGCCCTGGCTTCCCAGCTTACGGACCTAGCTCCGACTTCCCTCACCTTAGGAGTAATTTGCATGATTCCCCTACCCATCACTTTCCTACCCTCTGTCGGCCCTCACGCCCTAGTTAGGCAGCCCCGCATGCTTCATCTAGGTGCGCCCAGTATACCAGGCTCCCTTGTTCCCTTGCATGGTCGGCCCTCCATAGCGGTCACCCCTTAGTCGAGCATTACCTGCCCTGATGGTCTATCTATTAGGGTCATTGGTTCTGTTCGCTCCCAGTTCCCTACCCTCATTGAGCCTGATGACATGTGTTTCCCCTGTCACTATGTGTGGATACCCTTAGGAGTTTTCGACCCCTAGGCTGCATTCGCCACCCTCAGAGACCATCCCACCCTTTGGTTTGCGACACACTTCTCCTGTGATATATGGTTGACTTGTTGTTGCTTGTTGCTCTCAGACTGAGGCTACTGCCTCTGACATTTCTAGGATTTAGCTGCTCTGCGTTTGCTGTTCTTAGGACTTATACACTAGTCAGTTGTTCCCAGACTGAGGTTACTGCCTCCAACATTCTAGGATTTAGTTGTCACTACTTTCTGCTTTTCTAAGACATGTATGCTAGTTAGTTGTTTCTGCTTTCCTAGGACATGTATGCTAGTTAGTTGCTTTTGCATTCACTTAGGCTGTTAGCTGTGACATTGCTGTTTTGTGACATTTTCTATCCTAGGTTACATCGCATGGACTCAGCATGTAGCTTGCTCCGCATCCTAGACTACTCAGGTTTTCTTTTCCTTTGGTAGAGTTCCGCTTCTTGGCGGAAGCGTGTTTGCATCTAGGCGATCCATCACAGGTCGAGGATCGTGTAGCGGACCTCTGGTTGGTCTGTGAGACCAGCCCCTTGGCCTGTTCTCACAGGCCTGTGTTCTATTCGGGGGCAGTCCAGTCCAGTCCAGGCCGGTACCTTTGTCGGTACCAGCCAATCTAGTCCAGTCCCTTCAGTCCGCTTGGGTATACCCCAACAATTGTCTGTTTTTGTCCTCATTCTACACTTGCACATTTTGGAGTACGTGCGTTGGAGTCTTGCGTGGGGAGCTGAGCTGTGCATCTTGCTCCCCCCTTCTTTCTCCATCTCCATCTCTATCACTAGCGGAGCATCACACCTGGTGGGTCCGCTACAGTCATCGCCCGACTGTTGGAACGCGCACTTGTGCCTATTGTGTCTCCATGATGTGGCCTCGACATGCTGTGGATAGTGGGGGATCATGTGGCATTGCGGTTCCACTGAGGTTAGGTTGTGGCCTCTGAATACAGACGACACAGACAGACAGACAAAATAAACGGACAGACAGACAAACAGACAAACAGACAGACAGACAAACAGACAGACAAACAGACAGACAGACAAACAGACAAACAGACAAACACACAGTCACGCTGAGCACAACGACAAATATACAGTGAAGCACAGTGCCACCCAGAGACATGCGGAAACACATCAGCACACGGTACAGTCTGGCACACGCGACGAAAGATATGGACACACAGAGAGTGACGCAGAGAAAGAGAGGCAGAAAAGAAGAGGAGAAAAACACATACCTGGTCTTGGCGATGGTCCGCAGGGGTCGACGTCTTCATGTTCTTCGAATCCACTGCATTGTCAATCAGCAGTCTGCCAGTATGCCCTAGCAGTCTGTGGTCTGGACGTCGAACGCCAAAGGGGTAGAGGGATGATACTGATTTATTGACGATGGTAACGAGACTATTCCAACATTATCGTTTACAAGCGTTGTTGTGCTCTTACTTAGCCGCTCTCGGTTCAGAGTCACGGTGTAGGGCCGAACCCCGGTAGACTTTCGAGTCTTGGTCGACCCCACTGCGGGTCCCACTTGGCTCCGCCCGCCCACGCTTATGCTCAGGGCGCGGGTCGTTGGTCCCAGGGTCACCCCCACCTAGTGCTTTGAGATGGACGGGGGTGAGCCATTGAGCGATAAGACTTTGACATTGGGGATGTAGCTCAACCCTCATGCCGAGTGGTAGTCTCGCTGGTCGTTCCGCAAACACTGATTTTTTTTTTTTCTTGGTAGTGTTCTCAAGCAATTGCTCCTTCCAATACGTAGGTAATCCATGGGTTCTTTGAGAACTTTTCTTTCTTTTTTTGTGCGTAGGCTAAGCGTCATCCTTAGGGCACGCACCATTTCCCTAAAACATTGCAATCCTACAGTGTCATCGGGGGGCGGCAAGGCCGTCTTCCCCCTCGCCTCTACGCACTCCTCGGGCCTCATGCATTCCATCCATCCTTATCGAAGTAGGCCCCTTAATCTTTTCGGGGCCATCATACGCATGCACAGGCTACTTCACAGTCCGCTCAACAATAATGCACTTCTTTCTTTCCTTTACACTCCAAGTCACATGCACAAGGGTCACCCGCATGATTTGATTTTTACACTAAGGGTCTCGTAGCCCCCTTTGCCCCCTCTTCCCTCTGCCTTTGCCGCCAGGTCTCTCCCGGCCCTCTCTCGCTCAAGGCATCCTAAACCTTTACTTACCTGCACAATCCCACACAAGCAAAGACCGATACAATCCCCCATTGGGGTTAATACATAGCCCTTCCCGCATGCCTAACTTTCCTTTTTCTTTGGCTTCTCTTTGTGCCCAATCAGTCCATGCTCTTCTCGTAGTCATGCGGTCGGGGAAATGGTTTAGTCAAACTGACCTCGTGCCAAACTTTCACTCTCCCACTTTCTCAAGGACTTTATCTTCCCAATTCCTCAAGAGCTCCCCCTTTTCCTTCTTGGCGGCACAAGGGACAAGCAGCCCCTCCCTTGCCTTCTTTTTCCACCAAGTGAGGACAAACTTCTTTCGCCGTTCGTTCCCTGGCCATGTAACAAGTGAGTGGGGAAGGGTTAGCCATGTACCAAGAAGGAAGAGGAGGGGAGGGTAAGGTGAAGGTTTTTAGGATGCAAGAGAAAAGTCGAGGAGGAATGAGGAAGATGGTGGCGGAAGGAAGGAGGAGAGGAAGAAAGAGTAGAAGAGAGGAAGAGGAGGAAGAGAGAAAGAGGGGGAGGAGGAGAGATAGAGGAAGAAAAAAGAAACTTCCTATCCCTAATCAAGCTTACCTCCTACTTGCTCTTCTGTCCTTCCCAAGACTTCTCGCGCTCTTTGGTGCCCCTTCGCCCATGGACCTTGAGTGGTGGAAGAAGGCGGAGGAAGGAGAAGATGCGACGTGGCTGGGCATTGAGGACGGGTGGAGAAGATGGAGGAGGAAGAAGGTGCGAGGTGGTTGGCTATGGTGGATGGATAAAGAAGATGGAGAAGGGAGAATATGCGAGGTGGTTGGCTATGGAGGATGGGTGAACGAGATGGAGGAGGAAGAAGGTGTGGGGTGGTTGGCTGTGGTGGATGGCATGCTCTGTACCACACGGGTCCAACAGAGCCCGACCTGGTAGACTAAGGGTCCGTAGGGAAAGGGCCTATTTCAGGCCCTGTGTCGTTTCGGCCTCCAGCCTGAAAACGACGGGCCATTTTCAGGCACCAGACCGGGGTTCTAGCTCAGGCCTTTAAGGCCTATTTTGTGGAGCGTCAACCCCAGGGTCTGGCACGTTTTGGGATAGGCACGAGCAGCCTCTCGGACGGGCCAACACTATATAATGTTGACCCGCCCTGCAGGTTGCAGGCAGTTCCCAGGCACTTCACGTGCAGAAGGCAGGAGGTAGTCTTCAAGATCTGGCAGCGGCACGCTGGAGGAGTAGCGATAGTAGTAGTCTTCAACGTTGGGCGTTAGTAGGAGCTTAGAGAGAGAGAGAGAGAGAGAGAGAGAGAGAGAGAGAGAGAGAGAGAGAGAGAGAG